GCCAAGGGGGCAGACATTAAATAATCCAAAGTAATTGAAGCTGTTGTTTCATATTAGACAATTTGGTTGCATGTAGCTGTGAGAGCAGAAGCTGTACTATGGTGTCCCATTGATGTGATATTTATAACCAACATAATAATGCAGGATGGAGATAAGATGGAGGGTACAGAGTAGGGAATCGCCAGTAAGTTCTGTGAATGAAGAGCACTTATTAAATCACAGATGAATCTTCTTCACAAACACAATAAGGTGGGCATTGCACTATTTCTTGTTGTGTATTCATACAATGAATTAGAAGATAAATGTAAAAATAGGCGTCATTCTTACTCTATTTTATTTCAACTGCAGAAGTCATTAGATTTTCCTCAATGATTCTCTAAGTTTCTTTTACTCTCCTTTCCGATGCGACTGCCCACCACCTAAAAAATCCCTAATTAATTAAGTATTGAATTCATGGAGTAGTTTATACCTCAAATACCTCCATTTTCAGCAGTAGGTATGAATGTTTTACTCCGTAATTTGGTATTATTGACCACTGGCTGTTAAACGGAAAGAAGGAATGTACTTAATTATTAAACTCCATACATATCGTGTGTAGTGTAACATATTGTGATGTACTTAATGATAGCACCTTTATTAGGAAAAGCTGACAAATGCGTGAATTGTAATGTAATCAAACAAGCAAGGGATGGTTTCCACATCATGCTCACGCATCATAATATGAGAATAGCACACCTAAAACATGTTGTTTTAGTAAAGTATAAATCACATGTGACAAGATACAAGACCAGGTACTTTCTAAGTCAATCATATAACAGTGACAGCGTTAAGTTTCCCAGAAAGTAGCACAACAACAACAAAAATTACATTTGTAAAGCGCCTTTCACGTCAGGAGGACTTCCCAAGACGCTGAACAGTCCGGGATCAGGACCGAGGCATGGGGGGGCAGGGTTGGGGTGAGGGAGGGCAGAGAAGTAGGAGGGCAGCTGAAGGCATGGTCCCTTGAAGGAGGCAAGGGAGGGAGCAAGGCAAAGGGATTGTAGGATGGAATTCCAAAGGGTGGGGGCAGAGAGGCTGAAAGCCCGGCCACCGATGATGGGGCGGGTCGAGTGGAGACATGGAGTAGGCTGACTGGAGGGAGAGGACAGGTTGATAGGGGGTCAGCAGGTCAGAGATGTAGGAGGTGGCAAGGCATGGAGGTCCTTGAAAGTGAGTATGAGGATTTGAATTCTATCCTCTGAGGGATGGGGAGCCAGTGGAGCCGGGTGAGGGTGGGGTTGATGGGACACGAGCTGCAGAGTTCTGGATGATTTACAGCTTGTGGAGGGAAGAATTGGGGCAAGCAGTTTACAAATGTCCAGTAAAATTACAATTTACTAAACCTTAAGGACGGATTGGACTCATCCATGCCCCTTCATACTGCAGAGTTAATGTTTTATGCTGACTTTGAGTTGCATTAAACTGGATATGTATTATAAATCAGGTTGAAAATGCATCGATTCAACAAGAACAACAAGATTACATTTGTACAGCGCCTTTCACATCAGGAGGACGTCCCATTCCATTCCATGATTCCATTCCAATCATTTCCTGAAACCAGCTCCCGATGGTGATTTCTTTATGGAATCAATGTGATTGATAAGTTAGGCTTAGAATTAAATGTAAAAATCCATGGTTCTCTGACTGTCTCTTCAATAACATGGAAAAATAGTTGGCTGGTGCTCACCACTGGTGAGTTGAGTTCTATGTGTGTGCAACTGAACACATGACCAGATCTCGTCTTCCCCCTCATGGGAGCGATGTTAGAGTAGGAAATATAAATCCAGTTTCTTGTTCCAAATTGCTCTATTACTGAAAGCGATGCCAAATTGCTCTAGCAATATAAACCAGATTTTAGAATTATCAGTTAATATTAGTACTACATATTATAGAGAGTTTATCAAAGATAAAATCATGTCTGTGTGACCTGGGGAAGGGGAGGGAGGATAAAGGCTACTGCAGATTTTATGTTAAGGAGCCTGGAAGTATCCTGGATGATGTCGAAGGATCATATATGTTATCAAGCTTTAGCTTAAAAAGTATTTCACAGGAACCTTGACTTATTTTGCACACAGCATATGTTTATTCTGTTACTTCCCAGTTGCCACACAGATGGGAAGCAAAAGAGTCCAGTCAAACTGAACCAACATTGTTACAGACTACTGATGCTTCACGTATTTTATAAAGAAACAGACTTAATAACACGTTGAAGAAGCCTTTACCTTTTCCCCAAATCGCTGGGGGGCACCTCCTCATGAGAAACAGTTACTTGGGAAACATCTCTCTTCTTTCCTCTGATGTTGTAGTTAGCATTGAAATGCATCATTCTGTTGCTTGCATACACGAGAGACGATGATAGAGGAGTATGGGAGAAGGATTAGGAGGGATGGAGGCAGGTGTGGAGTATAAACACTGGCAAAGACGAATTGGGCTGAGTGGTCTGTTTTTGTGCTGTATCACTCTATGGAATTCTATGTGTAATGAAAATTATGGGCATCTGTCTTCCCTCTCAAAAGAAGTTACTTTTGATGAGCAGCAACACAGCGTCTTTGTAAATGCAGTAAACATGCCAAGCCAACACGCTCTCCTCCCTTGAGCAAATTCAATATAGAAAAGGTAACATTGACCAAGTGGAATTGTTTGATTGTCATTTCAACAATGCAATTGCACACAGTAACACAGGTAAAACAGAGTCAAATGCTAAAACTCTTACAGAATTGCACTTTTTATTGATGACTAGAACCCTTTCAAAATATTCATCATCTGCATTGTAGACTCTAATATCTGAATCAACGTGGTCACCCAGGCTCAGGAACTCATACATCTTTCTCTCAATCCTGAACGGAAATCTCAGCACTAAAGTAACAATACTGGCCTGGATCCTGGGTGGAGACAACCGAATGTCCCAGATGCCAAATAACAGAAGATGGTAGAACCTAGTTTGAACGTTCTTGTTTTAAAGTGTTACATTAAGAAGGTAAGAACATGTTACACAAACCTGACCATTAATTACTTTAAAGGCTGTTCTAGAATCTTCTTTTTCAGTTGATATTGCCCGTAACTGAATATTAGGAATACAGGTATTGATCAACCCCAATGAGTAATGAATACAAAGATTAATACCGAGAAACAAATTTGTTCATCAATGATTGTCTGAATCAACTATAAAAGCAGCACCCAGAAGTTTTAAACAAGAAGATAGCACTCAATACAAAGTCATTGCATTGTCTCTTCACACAGGACTCATTGAGCTTAAAAATAAGTTTGTCCTCATGCAATCATTTTAATCTCCATCACAAACACAAACTCCAATATTAGGCATGGAGGACCTGGTTTTCCTGTACAGTGGCCTCGAAGCATTTTTTAAAAAGAATTTGTTGAAAGTACAGAATGATTAAGAAATTGTACTTGTAACATTCATGGGCACAAATTTTACAACGGTTTCCATTTCCCAAACTGCTCTTTTTAACACGTGAAAAATGCAACATGTCATAAAATTCAACGTGAATTATCACATTGAATCTGTTATGAAATATAACATTTCCCCACCTATCATTTATGCTCTTTTTTCTTCTGAAGAAGGTTTGGTCCTTTAAAGGGGTATTGTCTTTACTGAAAAGTGTGACAAACTTTATTTGCTTACAAAGTGATCCATAGCTGCTTTGCCTCCCCATGAAAAAGAGAATGTCTCTTATAATTGCTGCCTGAAATAGGCTTTCAAAATGCATACATAAACACACACAGACACACACAGTAAAAAAAGTGACACATTGCCTGGAGATAATCTGCTGCTTGCTGTCTTTATCTGCAAGTTAATTGTCAGTAATGATCCTTTTTATAAAGCCACATTAGGTAAAGGACCGTAAGTGCCACACATCTTTTTAACAGTAGACAGTATTTGGCCAGATGTTTTCTTTCCAGACTCCTCTTTAAACTCCTTAAAATGACGTATAAAGTTGTAATGTTAAAACACCCTTGATTGACTATAAAGGCATGAGTGTGAAGAAGCCTTCTGCGTTCTGCTAAATCCTGGTGTAACACAATTCTATTCCACTAAGCTGAAATGAAACACAAGAATGCAACCAAACAGGGAGCATATAAATAATCCCACCGGTGTTTTGAGGCTTACAGCAGTAGACATTGAGCACAGTATTAATATGACACGGGTGGCTGAGTCCAATGGTTCACTAATCATTTTGCACCTCGGTGTAACCTGACGTGGGTTTAATATCACTATTCCTCAGACAAGTTACAGAACCAATCTCAACTGTGCCATCAGGGGAAGTGCAGAGAAGAAACCAGCCATGCTTCCCTGCATGGAGAGAGGGAGAGTTAAAGAGAGAGTCATTGTTAACTCTTTCCTGCACATCTCAAATGACAGACTAACTGCTCCACTCCCAGGCTACATGTTCCACCAGTGCAGAAGCAACAATCCCTTCATGGAAGTAATTCCATTCTCTACATTTTCAAGTACTTTTCAACACACAAGATTTTGCTTTCAGTATGTTTTTGTGTTCTTCAAGGTGTCAGGAAATAAAGAATTTTCCCATTCTGAACAACCAGTACCAGAGTCAAGCATTCCCAGGTCTGGAACAGCACTGCTGGATCAAAACTAAAACTCCCTCTACTCTGCCCTCTGAATGATATGCTTAGTGACCCTCCACCCCCAGGAAAGCACTCACTACTTCACTACTAACATTTCCATTTCATTCACCAAGCCAGTTTGGTGGCCTCTCTGAGTGATGTTACCAGAGGCGGCACTCTGAGATGCTATGTGTGTGAAGGGCACTATATAAATGCAAGTTATTGTTACTTATTATCAGTGAGACATTAACAGCAGTTTGAGGGCTGATGGGCACTAGAAACCGAGTTAAAACAGCTTAAAGACACTTTGTAATGAGCAACAAAGAGAGAAGACATAGGTCTGAGAAATAAAAGAGCCCAATTAGGCACCTCTCATTCACACACACACACACTGAAGAAATATCAACATCTAAAGAGAGCAGTGATGGATTATGGAAACACTTGAGTGCAACAAATGTTCAAATGTACAATCAACTTGCCTTTTAGTATTATAGGATTCTTAAACCTAAAATCAAAGCATTGTAAAGAAACTCTATCAAGATCCTTCCATTCTATAACCAACGAAAAGTAATGGCGTCTATTTCACAGATTCTGATAATGACTGAGGGTTCATGCTCCTTTTTTATATAAAACTGGAAAATGAAGAGGCAAACAGTATATCAAATGTTTCCTTGTTATACCCAATTTATGGTTTTATGGAGTAATATGAAATTTGATCAATATTATTTTGATCTCAATTATGCCTCGAGACAGCAATTTCTGTGGGGAAATTTGGCAGCTAAAAACTTACAAGTATGTTATAGAGAAAGACAAGCAACATATTTTCATTACCATGATTTTCAATCATAAAAGAGTTATATTGCTTAGGCAATGGCATTTTACAATATGAAAATAAAGTAAATATTTGAATGAAGGTGGGGGAAAAAGGCAAATCAATTTTGAGGCCTTACAATCTCTGGTCTGTTTGTGGTGCTGATGAGCATCCCGTTAGAAGAAGGCAGGGTTGGTGTGCTCTATAATGCATCGCTTGCAGTGGCGCTTGACAAAGCGTAGTGCCTCGACAGAGATGTCGCAGTCCTGCACGTTCAACATCTGAAGCTCAAAGCAGTTGGCCGCAACGATCTGTAATCCACGACCGGTGATGCTCTCGCATGACTTAAGGCTTAGCCGTTTCAGATTGTAGCAGTTTAACGCTAAAAACTCCATCCCTGCATCCGAAACTAAAGGACACTTCCCTATATCCAGAGATTTGAGTTTTGTGCAATTTTTGGCTAGGTACTCAATACCATGATCCGTTATTCCTTCACAACCTCGAGCATTGAGATACCGCAGTTTACTGCAATACTTTGCAATATAACGGATACCCACATCTGTGATCCGGCCACAGTGAGCAATGCTGAGATACTTCAGTTGCACTTCCAGCTTTGCTACCTCTCTCATGCCGAAATCGCTCACCGCCCGACAGTCACTGACACTCAGCTCCTTGATTGATGTACAGTAAAGCATCAGGTAACGCAGGCCCTCATCTGTGACTCGGATACACCGGCGCATGTAGAGGTGAGTCAACTGGGTGCAGTGAGCAGCTATTGTGTGCAGCCCCTCATCTTCAAGTACAAAGCAATCCGTCATATTCAGATAGCGAATGGAGATCTGTTTTCCGTGCAGTGGGGAGAGTTTGATGGAGGCCTCTCGAGTAAGACTAATGCAGGTCACCTTGGAACAACCTAGAGAGAGGAAACTGGGATGTTAAATGGGAACACAATGCATTTAGAGGATTAAAATTTCAATATGTAAGATTTGTTACAACATATGGTCCAAAAATCACTTTATTAAAGAAACTCTTTCATTTCAAAGGCCAAAGCGATAAATCAGCATCCAAAGATGTAATACTCATAATTTCATTACTCTTTGACCGAGCCTTCGGCTCCCCTCTCGACTCTCTACCCCCTCCTCGCTCCCTCCCTTCCCTCCCCTCACCCTGACCTTTTCCCCCCTGCTCGGGTCCTGACCCAACTGTACAGCGCCTTGGGACATCCTCCTGACGTGAAAGGCGCTCTATAAATGGAATCTTGTTGTTGTTGTTGTTGTTGTACTTCCCTCTGTCGTGTTCACGCCCCTCCCTCCCAGACTGTATTAACACAAGTTCAGTTAGGATCCATCCCAGCTTGTGTCTAATGTAACAATATTGTCACGGGGTGGGGGTGGGGGGTGGAGTGGCGTCACCCAATGTCACCCAATATTGATTGCTTTTGACCACATTGTTTGGTTGGTGTGATTATCACCAGTGATAATTTTGGCTCCATATATATGGAAAGAAGACAACCTCAATCTGTGCACATGATGATCTAATCCATTCCATTAGTAGTGCTTTCCATCATTCAGTATAAACAAAACTATATTTATACCATAATTCAATTTTATTTATTTGACACTAGAAGAATTTGCAGTTTTATAGCATCTTATGTATTGAAACATCTGAAGGTGTTTAAAAGTAATTATTGTTACATGCAGTGACCGTTATTCATTAGTTGTCAAGGTTAACAAAATGTCAAAATACTCTAATTTTGCCTGCCACCAAATTATAATTTTTGTAGGACTTTATGTCACTGCTATTCTGTAAAAATTGCCATTGTTTCCCATAATGCATGAAGGGACACCGTTATTCAGTAAGGTCAGTCTATCTCAATTGGTAGCATTAATAGGATCTGTATCGTGCTAATGTGACTGCTTGTGCTAGCTACTAAATTTTGCAACTTTACATAAAGCTAAAATGAAAATTCAAATCAGGTTATAAAACTGCTAGTTCTGCAGCATCGATCTGTGCTGCTGTGACCTTTTGTTGTCAGCCAATACATTGGATGTGAATTGCAGTTTTAGACTAGGCTTGCATTTCTGTTTAAACCAGGGGATAACATATTTCTCCATCCAACCAATAATTAACAACTGGAACAGGTTACCAGGAAGGCTGGTTGAGTTGATAATTCCTGAATTCTTATTCTCCTCCTCATTGAAGTTTATCCCACGGATTCTAACTAACTGCCTTCTCAGCTCATTGTTGTTTGCAGGACTTCGCTTGCACATCCTAGCTGCCGTGTTTGCCTCCATAGCCACATTCATTCTATTTCTTATTATTCCCATTCTGTAACATGCTTTAACTTATTTACATTATGTGAAAGACGCTATTTAAATGTAAGTTGTTGTTGTGTAGTTACCTGAAACATCCAGATACTCCAGGTTGGGACACCGTGAAACAACATCATAGAGCGCTTCATTGGAGATGTTGTAACAGCCTGCCACTTCAAGTTGACGTAGCTCTGGACAGCACTGAGCAATGGTATAGAGGCCTCTGTCTGTAAGCCGCCTGCAGCCTTGAACGATGACTGTTTCCAACATGAGGCATACATTAGGTGTGTCCTGACACAACCTTCGGGTGAGCACCCGCAAGGCCCTGTCCACGTTCATTGTTTCACCTGTCAAGCGAATAGTCCTCCACAGACGGGGGTCCCAGCACAGGTTGTACCAGCGCCGACAAACACGTGCACATTGACACAACAGGTTGGTGGGCAGGTGCGAGAAGATCTGGATCAAGGTTTGGTCCAGTAGCGTGTCTACAGGGGCCTGTTCCTTCTGCTGTCTCGATGCCGGCCTGATGATACACTGGGATTTATGGAGCAGGGGCTGGGAATGGATCATAGCGATGGTTTCCCCTGTAATAGAGGAAGAGGAGGTGGAAGATCCTTGGCCATTCTGAAAGAGCTGGACATTTGGAGGACACATCAGTATAGGGCTTGGCGTGCTCAAGGTCCGCATACTCAAATCCGAATCTGGAAAATAAACAAAGGGAATTCATGTGAGTAAATAATAACAACAGAACACGTTTTGGAAAATATAGGTTTACTCTCCGAAACTCTCCCTAAATGTCTCTATTTAGCTTCCTTCTCCTCTGGTTTCAAAACTTTTCTAAAAACCTTTCTAACACTTTGACTATGCTTCCGCCATCTGGCTCCTATCTGGCTCTATCTACCACTGGGCTCACACCTCAAATCTGTAAAGCCCTTTGAGATGTTTTTCTGAATGAAAGGTGCTATATAAGTATATATTAGCGTTGTAGTACATTTTAACATAACTGAATTGTTATTTTATCCAATACAGTGATAGCCATCAGTCTAGCTTATTTGATAGCACTCTCGCCTCTGAATCAGAAAGTTGTAGGATCAAGCTCTATATTGGGATTTGAGCTCATAGTGTATGCTAACACTTCAATGCTGTGTGTTATCAGAGATACTATCCAAAGTATAAGATTCTAACCGAAGTCCAATCTGCCTGTTCAGATCCCATGGCTAGATTAGAAAAGAGAAGGGGTCTTGGCCAATAATCCCTCAGATTGTGATAATGAGGTAAAAGAGAAGTTATAGGCTTAATCAATGAGGTCACTAACAATACTGGTCATGGGTAAGAATCATCTGCTTTTGATTCCGTCACAGTGGCTGGACCCAGCTCCAACCTGGACCAACTGTCTTGCTAGATACTGGATTACTGATTGCTTGTGTTACATTAAGATAGCATCATACCAACCGATACTCTGACAGTATGCTCCATGATCCAGCAATCCAATGGTGATCGAGGACGTCTTCGGGACCTACCATTGTTCATAACCATGGGCAGTCTTATTATCGACAGTTTTGATCTCATTTATCAATGAAGTGACAATTTTCACCAGTAATAATTATTATCCCACATTGAAATATTAACCCTATTGTTTCCAAGCCTCTGAGAGGCAGAGTGTTGTCAGCAGTAAACCTTTGCCTGTGCAGAAAGTATGTTCCTATTTTTTTCTGTACTGCTTTGTATATTTCCCTGTCTTACTCACATTGAAGAGTGCAACTGGCTCATAACCTCTCACAAAAAAGTTCCATGAAAAGAAATTGCACCACATGATCCCAGGAAGGTTGAAATCATCTTCTGTGAATTGGAGATGGTAGTCTTAAGAATAATATTCCTTGCAATTGATATAGTACATTTAAAACCAGGAGGATGTCTCAAAGAGCTTTACAAGATATACTGTAAAGTGTAGTCACTATATACTTTGTAGGCAAACACAGCAGCCAATTTGTGCACAGCAAAGTCGCCACAAACAGCCATGAAGTGAATGACCACTTTTATGTGGGGGATTGTTGGCTAGGACATTGGGAAAAACTCACTTCCATTAATCGCATTGCCACTGCCACATACACATACCGAGTGATAGATCAAAATTAGCAACAACTCACTCCCTCACTGACTTTCCTGATGTAATTCTCAAGACACTACATCAGCTCTTTATAAGCAGGAGAAAAATACAGCCTCTTGTCGATATTGTATAACATTGCTACATTCAGGAGTAAATGCCAGCTATTGCCAAAAAAAATCCCCTGCTGATCTTTTAACGCAGAAAGAATTTGCATTTTATAGTTCCTCATACAAGATTGCCAAAACGTCTCAAATCACTTCACAAACAATAACTATCAAAATTAGTGACTGTATTTGTTAGCAGATATGGTAGCCATTTACATGCAGCAAGGACCTACAAAGAGCTATACGTGAATGAACAGTTAACCCAAACGGTTGCCAAACACACTGGGAGAAACTCAACCATAGTGCTCTTATTACTGCATTGACAACTGACAAAAACGTGCATGTGTTTATTAAGCTTCCAGGACCTGCACACAGGAGCAGCACACTCATAGAATAAATAGAAAGTTGCCAGTGAATTCACTTATGTTAAAGGACATCATAACTCACTCATGCCTGCAGTGCTCATGACTCCTTCCAACTCACAAAGGAACGGGTCTAATTCACTGTCGGTTATTAGCAATCCTGAATTGGGGTAAGTGTCATAACAACGATTGGTTATTGCTGGTGAATAAATTGAACAGAGATGAATTTAAATTGCACCACATGACAAGCTAGCTGTAAAGCAGAGAAGAGTCCTGTTTTTGTTTCAAGCTTTGACCGGTGCAAGGCAGTGTACATCAACCATTGAATCTGCCACTTATCCAGAGCTCATAGCCAACTTAATATGCATTTATACTGGAGCATTATGTTCTTTTCCCTTAAGACTGAATTTTACGCCAGGTTCTTCTATGGTTTCAGGAAAGGTTATTTCAATCCATCATTACCACAAAAAGCAACAGAATTTGCAAAAATCCATGAAAGTGTCTTAAAAACTTTCAGTCAGTTCAGGACTTTGCCCCTGTGAAACTTGAGTAAATTCAGATGGATTTTGTACAGCCAACCAGTTTGCATTCCTTTGGTTGGCCCAGAAATGTTGAACTTGAAAATGGTTAGGACAAAAACCTACATACAACCTTTCCCTTTGCCCTATCTGGCTTTGCCCGAGTTTGTGGTATTACAAAAGGTTTAGTTACAGAGTATACGGTAACAGTTATCAAAATCAAATTCTATGTATTAAAAAAAACCTGGGGTCTGAGAACCCAATAATAATAATAGAACATAATTGTAAATGGAAAGTCTTATAGCTCTGGAATGCTACCACGTGAAGAGCACTATATAAATGCAAGTTGTTGTTACTGTTTGGGGACTGTGGAAGCAGTTGTGCTATGTTTATGGAGAAGGAATTTTTCTGTGAGTGTTGACTCTTCCTTTATGCATTTGGTCTTTTTTCTCCCACAACAGCCTCCTAAGTGGTCTGAAGACAGTGGAGGCAGACACTCTGGAGACTCATATAAAAACATCCGTGAATGTCACTATCCTGTGATCTGCCGGAATGAGGGGATGACTCAAATAATACAATACAATGTACATTTATACAGCAAAACTCATATAAGTCATATCAGGCAGGCCCATAACAATCAATATGACTTATACAAAGTCTACGTTGCAGACAAACTGTAGAAGTTGTAGAAAATCCGATTTAATCAATAATCTACACTTCGCATGAGTCATTTAATGTAGTCAGTAAGCGCACAAGTGGTAATTTATCATTGCAGCCGGTAAGTGCTCATGCAGTGATGGGTTAAGACGACATTCCCTGGGATTCAATATGTCTTGACACATCATCGCATACACTTACTGGCGAAGGTTGGAATCGTTTTTCTGTGCGTGTGTCGACGGATAAAGACCAGGTTTCCCGCAATTCAATACAGCCGGCTGGTAAGTAGACATGCATCAACCTATTTGCTTCTTGAGGTAAGATGAAGACCCAACACTCCAGTTGGCAACAGCACCATTTCATTTGTATTACAATATACATAGTGCTGGCAAGATTTAGTGAGTGGCAGTTCTGTAAGTAATACCCAACATTGGAGCCTGAATTTTCCATTAGGATGGGGTTACAAATTGTCTTTTGCTCCAGCGTAAATGTTGCTTGTGCTTTTCTCAAGTAGAAATACTAGAGTCAAATATGTTCATGTTTTCTCCTCCCTCTTCCCATGTGTGAAAGAAAGAACTTTCTTTCTTATCGTATCTTATTTTAGAAATGTGTCAAAGCACCATACAGCAATGATACCTGAAGTGGCTGCTGCTGTACGAAATGAAGGAGCCATGTTATGAACAGCAAGGTGAATAATCATCCTTTTTTTAATCTGGGAGGATTGCTGATGGAGACACCCGGAGAAACTCTGCTAACAAAAATCCCAAATTGTCAACTTGTAATGTTTGCAAAATGGTTAACCAAGATTTACAAAAGCCAAAGTGCAAAAAAAAAAGGATGGAGCGCGAAACAGCCAATGACACTGGTTGGGCCTCAGCTAGAGTACTGTGTTTAGTTCTGGGTACCACACTTTAGGAAGGATGTCAAAGCAATGGAGAGTGTGCAAAGGAGATTTACCAGGATGGTACTTGGAATCAGGTACTTCAGTTATGAGGAGAGGCTACAGAAGCTAAGATTATTCTCCTTGGAGCAGAGAAGGTTAAGAGGAGACTTAATTGAAGGTTTTGAAATAATTTAACAAAGGGATTGAGTATGTTCATCAGTCTTACTATAGACTTTAAACAGCTAATGGATTACACGGGTATGTACCACTTCACTCCTGTGTGCTTCTTCATGCCTCACTGTTTTTCCAAAGTCGCTTGTCAGGAATAGAAACATTTTGTTTACATGGCCTTATGATAAATAGGTAAAATGAGTCATGCAGCGAGGCCTTGTGATTTCCTGACTGACAACTATCATAATGCTGAACCACAGTATATTTCAGGCTTCTGCTGGGTCTATGACATTGCGATTACTTTACATATCGTACAATATGTGGCAATTGTGGTTATGATTTTTTTCAGGTCAGCCGGATTTCTGACACATGTGGAAACCCAGCACCATGCTTAAGAATACCCAAACCAGACTGGGAGTAATACATGTGTATGTCACCTACACTTGAACATTTTCTTAATGGATTGTTACCCATGGAAAAAGTGTTTTCCAGTTATATCTGCTACGAGTATCTTGTATAAGATTGTCCAACAGCAATATGTTTTCCTGAAGAAAACCTCAAACAAGAAAACTGCCCTAGTGGCCACATTGCCTTCCTATATGTCAATAAGGTTGACAAGATACCAAAGCCTATATGCACCATTCGGCCTGATAAATTTTGCAGTGTAATTTGAGGCATTTCTTAATGGAATTCCTTTAAAAATCCTATTAGAATTCCCAATGGCAACAAATCAAAGCTTCTCTAAGGAAAGAGATTGTGATGAAGTAGACTTCATGTTGACCGGTGTGCAGTACTTACACTATTTGCATGACTTTAGTTCCTTATTAACGAATCACATCAAGAAATACCGCAATTTAGATCCCGTTTGTGATCTTTGTGCTATTGGACCAAAGATCTTA